GCATAAGTAGGAAGGGCAATCACTTTCCTAATTGGCAGAAACAAAGTGTACATGACAGTGAACAGGCAAACACAGTGTGACTGTCCTTTCACTTGGACATCCAAGTCATGTTCCTACCCACACACCAGTCAAAAAATTCTCAACCTTGCACCTGCTAGTTACTAAAACTCTAAATCTGTGAGTTGCCATTGATGTTTCCATTGCTCCTATATTTTATCTGATTTATGGGCAAATGCTGTCCATCTGGCTCCAAAGCAAACCTTGAAACCACTTGGTCTCTCATCTTCACAGATAACAGCTGGAATACAAACTATAGTTTATCACGGGTTGCCTCTCTCGACTTCTTATAATCTGTTCCCATGGCAACTAGAATTTCCATTACAAAGTTTAACCAGGTCATATTGCTCCCCTCCATTGGATTCCCTTCATACTCCACTTTTTAAAAAGATTTAGGATGTGTGTGGGGAGGGCACTATGCCCTGGAGCTGGTGTTACAAGTGGTGTGTCTTACAGGATACTGGTGCTGGGAACCAAACCCTGGTCTGAAGAAAGAGTAAGTGCTCTTAACCACTGAGCCATCTCTTCAGTTCCTGAATTTCCTCTTTAGACAAACTCCTGCACAATGAGCCTGTGAGCCTCTCCTGCCTCCATCTGCTAATCTAGAAGATAGGTCTTCTTCCTTTCCCTGAACTTTCAAAAATGTTATCTGCCTTTGACTATTCTCTGTAGTGGACATGCTGTTACGCATTGGCCAAATTCTAATGAGTTAGTGCGTTAGATCTTCAGAAGATACTTTAAATGCCATTTTCCCCCAGAGAAATGTTTGTGATGATTCAATCTAAAGAAACTAAACACTCAGTTATTCACACATCATCCTATTTAAATCTGTTGCATAGTTCATCACTGTTAGATGTTTGCCTGTGATTGTTTCTGTGTTGGGCCCCCTTCTCCATGTGAGATCTGAAACTGTATTCTTCACATTGTTCATTTAGAACTGTGCCTGGCAACGAATGAGCAAATAATGCCTAACATAATGAGATACCGTATGCAATGGTAGCAGTTAGATTTTTATTATAAATGGGGGAATTTTGAAACTTTTTGTTTGTTTATTTTGGGATTGTGTTTTAATTATGACATTTCTCACCTCCCTTCCTCCCTCCAAACTCTCCCATATACCTCTCCCGACTCTCCTTCAAAGTCATCACCTCTTTTTGCAAATTTTGAAATTTCTAAGATGAAGAAAGAAACATACACAAGAAGCATTTCTTACCTTCAATGAGTTTGGAATCTATAGATGACCCTAAACAAATGATAGTCTTTAAAAGATACACGAACAAAACAAAGACCCCAAGTACCACATGGTTAATAGAAACAACCCCTACCCCAGGAATCTAATGAAGGAAGTGTGGGCTGGGGTAGCTGGAGGGATGACAGAACCAAAATGCCATAGGCATGAGATACAATGGACAGCAAAAGCATAGATGCAAGCAAGAACTGCTTATAATGATTCGGGGAGTAGATTTATCCAAAACCAAGAGTACTTACAAAGGGGCTCCATGGTAATTTGTCATTTATCTGTTTTACTAAAAAAGCATGGACCTTCAATGAAAATGCTTGATTCTGAGGTCTCAGTTAGAGTCCATTATAACAGGTCCATAAAATTATGAGATTGTTTTATGCATTTTATGACAAATATAAATGAATACTAATTATTATTTTCTTTTGATTCCCACAGAGTTGCCACTCCATTTGGAGGCTTTGAAAAGGCATCGAAAATGGTTAAATTCAAAGTTCCAGATTTTGAACTTCTACTGCTAACGGATCCCAGGTTCATGGCCTTTGCCAATCCTCTTTCAGGCAGACGGTCCTTTAACAGGACTCCAAAGGGATGGATATCTGAAAATATTCCTGTAGTGATAACAACTGAACCTACAGAAGACACCACTGTGCCAGAATCAGATGATCTGTGACAAGGAATCTGGACATGCCACAGAAAGCTCTGCAAATAAAAGCTGTGTTACCCTACCTGCTGGCAAAGCCATTTAAGTTCTTCATTGCTATAATCATTTAATAGCAGTTAAGTAAACTTAATCTCATGGCATTAAATTTTAATTGAACAATTAAATTCTTATTTAAAAAACTTTTAAGTTACTTGTATTCATTGATAACTTTATTTTCATATTTAATTTTGCTTTAAATAACACTTTTCATGGTGAAGGTTCAGATGGAAAAGTAGCTGACAAAAGTTTTCATTATTTCAATGAAATTATTCCAGAACACTAACATTGACTCTAGAATCAAAATATACAGTAAGATATGTGGGGTCATTCCGTATTTTATGTGCAGGGTAAGCGTTATATGAGATGGTCTACAGATGTTATTGTTGCACCCTAGGGGTAGGTACTCCCTGTCTGGTACCATGGCAGTATAGCAATCTGGATATGTCTTCCCTTTAGCTGTCAGTAGAATTATAAATGCCTATGTATTTCTTACACTTATTTTTAAATTATTAAAGTTCTTGAGTTACAATGGGTAATTATATTTGTCTAGTATTGCTAATAAGATTAGGAGCTGGAGATCCAAGGAGTAGAACCGAATGCTACTGCCATGTCGATGATTAATGTGTTCTTAGAATTCAAGTTCTCCAAATCTCAATACTATTGTTTGACTTTCTTTGGGTTGCCAGCTCCCAAATAATGCCATGAAGATGTCTTATTAATTATGAAAGTTTGGCCTTAGGTTAGGCTTGTTCCCAGCCTGTTTATATTGATATGTTCTGCCACATGGCTAGTTACCTCTGCTCAGTACTGTGCATCCCACTTCCTCCGTGTCTGGCTGATGAATTCTTCCTCTCTTCTTCCCAGAGTCCCTATCTCCTCCCGAAAGTCCTGCCTAACTACTAGCCATTCAGCTCTTTATTAAACCAATCAGGAGGTGCCTTGGCAGAGACACATCTTCACGGTGTACAAAAAGATTATCCTACAACACAGCACAATGTATTGATCAGGGGTATATTTACATATAAATTTTAGAAGAGTAATAACATACAATAAATATATGCACAATTATGTAAAATTTGAATCAGCAACTTTCTTTTGAACCAGCCAAATATTTAATTCCTAGTCAAATTGAAATCAAATACCAGTGGATTATATACAATAAAATAAAATAAAGTTAAAGAGTATGGAGGGTTCTCAAAGCAACATAGCACACATCCACCACAAAATGTTTGAATACAAGAATTTAAAAATTATATAAGTTAAAATATGCATGAAAAGTGTGCAATATGAAATTTGTTGACACCAATTTCTTCTCATTTTAATTTGTTCAAGATGTCTATGAATGATGGGGATAAAGAACATTTACCCACATGAATGAGGTGCTGGGTTTAAGCCCAAGTACAGAAAAATTGTCACATTACTCTTGTTATGCCCCAATTTCTAATTTATATGATCATACACATTTTTCTGCCACCCCTGAAAGCACGGCAACTAAATATGTCAGTTATAAAACACTATTCCCTAATATCAAAAAGTATTTCAAACTGGAGAATCTTAGATAATTTTTTAAGGTTATGTAGAGAATGAAGAAATAACCCTCTGTTCTAGTATATTTCTTCCATTCCTGGAAATGTCTATGAGTTCATGCTCAGCTGACAGCATCAGAAATGCCAAAATTTCACTCTGGTTGCTAGGCAGTTTAAAATTCAAAAGGAATTTTGAATGAGCTTTTACTTTGACCTGAAAAACAACTAAATCTTTCAGAGTCCAAAGAAAAATAATGGTCTCTTTAGAAGCTGAAAAGCAAAAAAAAAAAACAAAAAAAAAAAAAAAAAAAAAAAAAAAAAAAAAAAAAAATGTGGTATTTTCCCACAGAATTTGTAAAAATGAAAAATAAAGGAAATATCAAAAGAAAGAGCAAAAGGATAAATAATATTTGTTGTTGAACTACTCGATGTCAGATTGTATATGTTGCTTCATAAAGGCAGTTATGTGTTTTAGTAATTATCTTGTGTGGTAGTGTTATAAATGATCTCAACTTTATGAAAGAAACATCCTTGGGTAGCTAATGTAACCTCTTAGTGAGTTTTACGCATAAGTCTTGTACACATGTTCTAACTTCTGAGTTCTCATGTGCGTCTGCCCTGCTGAGTAGGGCAAATGCTGCTTCCTCGAAGCCATCCACTACCTGTGGCTGTTAAAATCCCTTCACCACATCCCCCACAAAGATCCCGGAGCCTTGAGAGGAGGGTTGTATCGAGTAGTACATGGTGTCTAGCTGTGCTACTGCCCCCCCCCATTATAAGGAAAGCTACATTTAAACTCTGTATATCTAAAATAGGTTTGCATATGGCTTTTTCAAAAAGGCCTTTAGTATTAATTATCCCTCCTCATATTCCCGCCTCTACCCCACCCTCCTCATATTCCCTCTCCTTCCCCATTTTATATCATTCCCTTTCCCATTTATATTCCTATATTCTATATCCCCTTCCTTGAAATATTTCCTCTTTCCCTTACTAGTTCCCTAATCTCTGTGGGTATTACAAATGAAAACTACTTATCAACGTTTAAAGGCTAATATCCACATATGAGAGAAAACATCTGATATTTATCTTTCTGGGTCAGGGTTACCATACTCAGGATGATTGTTTACAGTTACATCATTTGCCTACAAATTTCACTTTTCTTAACAGCTGATGATAATCGATTGCATGAAGATATCACATTTTCACTATCCACTCATCAGCTAGGCTGTTTCCATTTCCTGGTTCTTATGAATAGATTAGCTCTGAGTATGAATGAGCAAGTCTCTCTGTAGCAAGGTCCTTTGGGTAATATACTCAAGAGTGGCATAGATGGCTCTTGCAGATCTATTTCCAGTTCTTTGAGAAACCTCCACACTGATTTCCATAGGGTTGTTCCAGTTTGAATTCCCGCCAGCACTCACAATGTTAGTACTTGCCATCTCCGAAATCAACACATGAAAAAAGACTTAGCAATCAAGTGGGTTAGTCAAAATAACCATTTATTGCATCCCGTTAAGATTTTTACACTTTCCATCTAGATCTATTTATAAATATTTTAGTTGCCCGGGAAACAGAGGGAGCCAATTAGAAGTCCAATGTGAGCACAATGCCCAGTCTTGAATATGCAAAGAACATCTTAAACTTTTCAGCCCAGGTCACACAGCTCTACCAGCAGACTTACTCATTCCAGAATTTCCTCATTCTGCTGCTTATGTGAGAGAAAAATGACACGACATCATTGCAGTTCTTAAGCTATGACTCCTCTTTCTTAAACTTAGGAAAGTATGACTTTGAATAAGGCTTTTCTTGTGAAAAAATGCTCTTGTTGGTATTTGTCCTTCTGCAGGACAGTAAAGCAGCTTGCTTTCTTTGAGAGGTGGAATGTAGGCTTCTGGCAATACAGCAAGCAAAGGGAATCCATTCCAAGCTAAGTGACCAAATACACTTTGTAAGTATTCAAAAGAATTCTTTAAAACCTAAGCAACAAAATTAAAAACTAAAATTGTGTAAAGTTTTCCATGGCTAAAATGAAACACTCTTAGATTTTAAAGGCATATATTTCTGTTTGGATTCCTATGTTAAGTGAGATCCAAATTTATACTGACTTCTCAATGCAATATAATTTTAAAGGGAAAACTGTAGCACATGGGGACAAAGGGCGATGAGAAAACTACTAAGAGTTTATACAACCAGTAAGGTAGCTCACACCTGTAACCCTAACACTGTAGATGTTGAAGCAAAAGGATCAGAAGTTCAAGGTTACCTTTAGCTACACAGTGAATTTGAGGCCAGTCTGAGCTACAGGAGACCCCCTTTTAGTAAATAGACAAATGAGTTCATAGCTCAAATACAAATAAGAATATAAACTCAAATGCTGGAATATTGGTGGTCCCCACTGTGTCAGTGTTCAGGAGGTAGAACCTTTAAGAGATGTTGCCAAGCAATGGGTGATAAGGACTTCAAGAGTTCCTCCTTAAAAGGGATTAATGTAGTTTTCATAAGATGGCAGCTCCAGAGAAAACTCACTGCACAAAAGGAGTAAGCCTGTGTCCTGGATCTCTGTGGCTTCTGGTCATCTGATCTCTCCTGAACCTGCTCCCACAATTATTATGCCACCAACCTAGAGGATGAATGGAGGGGACTATCTGATTCTTACCTTTGGTTCTCTAGACTGAAAGATAAACAAACACTTCTCCCCTATAAAATGACTTAACCTCAAATATTTTCTTACACGACTAGTACATGGATTGATACATGAACCACAATAAATATTTTTCTAACTGCATAGGAATAAATTTCTATTGTGTACGGTAAATTTCCTATTTTGTATTATATAAAAGAGTTAACATTGCTCTGGTTAATTAAAAAACCTGTTGATTCATGTCTTTCAAACTATTGTAAAGGAGTCTAGATCTTAATTTGGTTGGTTAGGATCACAACTTTTAAAATGAAATAGAATAGACTATCAGGATAAATCTCTAATACTCCAGGAAATTCTGAATTCATTTTTAAGCTTGTTTGGGTATAAAGAATCATAAATAAAGCATTCTACATACTCTAGATTGTAGTGTAAAATGGCTGAAATCTGCTAGTAGCTTATGGTGGTTTGAACGAAAATGACTCCATAGGTCCATAGCCAGTGGCATTATTAGGAGGTGTGGCCTTTGTTGGAGCAGGTGGCTTTTTGAGGAAAGTGTGTCACTAGGGGTGGGCTTTGAGGTTTCAGATGCTCAAGCCAGGCCCAGTATCACTCTCTCTTCCTGCTTCCCGCTGATCCTCATTTACATCTTTCAGCTCCTTTTCTAGCAACATGTCTGGATGTGTGCTGCCATGCTTCCCCCCATCGTGATAAAGGATTAAACCTCTGAACTGTAACACAGTTAAATGCTTTCCTTTGTAAGAGTTGCCGTGGTCATAGCGTCGCTTCACAATAATAGAAACCCT